TGAGAGAGAGAGAGATACAGATAGAGAGAAAGAGAGAGGAATGAAATGTTCCCTGCACCATTTCACATTAAGGGAAAAGGAACGAGCTACTGACATATGCCATCTGGATGAAATATCTGGAAAAGCATGCTAAGTCAAAAAAAGCAGATTCCATAAGTTTATGTATTTTGTGATTCTTGTTAACACAGCGGTCATTATAGAAATGGACAAGTATAGAATTTCATAGTGATTATCAGCAGTTAAAGAGACAGTGGATTTTGCATAGCATCATTAAAGATATTGAGTAAAAAATATATAGATCTTTTCTCTCACATAAGTACATATACATTTTCAGTTATGTCAAAATAAAAACTCAGTATTACTAAGTTGAATACATAAAGAATAAACTTCTAGGGAACAAAGTATATATCTCACTAGAGAGGAATAGAATAATTGTGTAAAGGTTACACAAAGAAATATAAATAATTAAAACAAATAACATCCATTTAAACAAAATAGATCATTGAAAGAAAAACTAGCAAGCTGTAGAGCAATCTTATTTTGTCCATAAGTGTATGAAACCTATTATATGAATTTCTCTCTATCTCCCTTTCTCTTTTTCTCTAGATACATGATTTCCATATTTCATATATTACTTAATGATCCATAAAGAACAAGAGTATCTGATATTGGTTAGTCATTTGACCATGATAGGATGAGAGTTTTGGTCAAATTTCAAATATTTCTATAATGTTTTATTTTAGTTAACAATTCCCAACTCGACATTTTCTACAATCTATCTCTTCCCCACTTATCTCCTTCAAGTTTCCTAGGTTAGTCTTTATATATGTACATTGTGTATTTATGACTGTAAATGCTCAGAATTCCTCTTTTCAATCATTTACCCTTATCCTTTTATCCCCCATACCCATCAGTAAGACATTCTTCCTGGTTGTCTTTTGGTTGAATTACCCAAAGAGTGGGTGTAAGTGCCAGAATTTACTGTCCTCTGAGTATGAGACTATAACGCCTTTTCTGAACTCCTATTTTGAGTATAAAATTAAATAAGTTAAAATGACATAAATTGAATGCTAATGTTTAATTGTGAATGGATATGTACTGGCTAAATGCATGATTAATAAGAAATATATGCTATAATTAATAAGCAATATATACTCCCTGAAGCTCAATAAATAAGATGAATTGCTTCTGCAATGTCTTATTTCAGGAATCTCACTATCTGACATCCAGTATGGCCACTACAAATAATGTGACTGAATTAATTATTGCTGGCCTCTTCCAGGATCCTGAGGTGCAGAGAGTGTGCTTTGTGCTGTTTCTTCCTGTGTACCTGGCCACGGTGCTGGGCAATGGCCTCATTGTT